CACTTTTCAAAGTGCCATTTACTTGATTAATTCCTCTTCTTAATATTGTTAGTAATTGATTAATTTTGTTTGGATTAATCTTCATCCCCTTGTTTGAACTATCTTACTTTTTGACAATTGGACATGATTGATAGGTACTTCTTTCTCTAAATTAGAAGCATATTTTACTTTTCCTTTTTTGAAAACAGAAGCATATTTTACTTTATTATGTTAGTAATAAATATGAGAAATAGGCTTCTAATAAAGGGACAGATGAGAATGATATAAAAAATCCCTCGAAAGAAAGGGCCTTCTCTCTAGCGAGTAGGGTATTGTTGCCGTTTCGACGACGTTTTTCAATTAATTTTCTTTGTGTTCTCTGTTTCAATGGCTGATGATATTGCTGCCCGTTACGCAAACTTGAAATTAGATGATGAGGATGGTGGTGTGGTTGACCTTGGGACTGTTGATTCGCAAATTTCTAAGGACAAATTCCATTTGCTTTTAATTGGTAGACTTGTTACTGAAAGACCTTATAACGTAGAAGCGTTCAAGAATACGATGACGAAGGTTTGGGCACTGAATAACAAATTGGTAATTAGGGTTCTTGGCCCTAATCTTTTTGCTTTCCAATTCTTCCATTGGTGGGATAAGGAGATGGTCCTTAAGGAGTTCCCGTGGTGCTTCGATAATAAATTGCTTGTGCTTAAGGAGATAGAGGAGATGAACAACCTGAACATGTTCCCCTGTTTCACTCACCCTTTTGGGTTTGAATTAAACATCTGCTGTTCAATTGCCGATCTGATGACGATGTGAAGGAGTTGGTGGCTAATTGGGGTGAGGTTTTGGAGATTGAAGAAGATGTTTTGGGGCTTGACCGGTTTAGGCGTGTGAAATTATTGATTAACAATACCAAACCCCTCCGCAGGTTCCAGAGGATTCGTGACAATGGGGGTAAGACTGTTTGTGTGGAGTTTGCATACGAACGATTACCTTTCTTTTGCTTTGCTTGTGGTGTCATTTGGCACTCCGAGAAGGATTGTTGCGTTGTTTATGAGGAGAGCAAGAAAAATAAGCTTGGTTGGGGGCATTGGCTTCGTGCGTCACCTAGAAAGGGAAGACTTAAGGAAGGGGAGGAGCTTGAGGCTATGATTTCTGCTCGCAAACAACTTTTTTTAACTCGTGAATCGGAACCAGTGTTGGAGGAACTGAGGGAGAGGGATGTTGTGCTGGAATTAAATGGTGGGAAGGAGGGACAGTTGTTCCTGAGAATGTCGAATAGCTGCGCTGAGTAGGAGCTAGGGAGCAGGGAGATTAGTGGGGGGGTTCAAGTAGAAGAGAGACAGAAGGGGGAGTTAATGGGAAATAATGTAGGGGGTGCGCAGGATGAGGGAGGTGGGAAAGTAAAAGGGGGTAAGACTTGGAAGAAATTGGTAAGGAAGAAGGATGGTTTCGATGAGGAAATGAGTAATTTAGATGGGGTTTTGTTGGGGAAAAGAGGCAGGGAAGGGGAGTTGGAAGAGATGGGCGGTAGTGCTCTTAATAAAAAATTGATGATTGATAATTTTTCTTCTGATAATAATTATTCTGGATGGCGGGAGGCGGAGGTTGCTTTGAAGCAACCTCGCCAAGCTCAATGAGTATTTTAAGTATTAATTGCAGAGGCCTGGGCAATACCTCTGCAATTAATAACCTCCGGAACTTAGAATGGAGGAAGGCCCCGTCTCTTGTTTTTTTATGGAGATGAAATTAAGTAGTGGTGAGATGATGAAAGTTCGAGTGAAACTGGTGGATTATGTAGGTGTGGCGGTTGATAGTTGTGGGAGAGCGGGGGGTGTGGCATTGCTATGGCTAAGGGGGCTTGATGTAGTTCTGAACTCTATGTCTATTCACCATATCGATGTGTTAGTAAAGGGGGGCTTTGGTCCTTCGGTTTGGAGACTCACTGGTTTTTACGGGTGGCCGGAAGTTCATAATAGGCACCTGTCTTGGACTTTGCTTCAGGAGCTTGCTAATAAGGGGTTGGAGCCGTGGGTGTGTATTAGGGATTTAAACGAAATTCTTTTTGACTCGGAGAAGAAAGGGGGAAGAGACCGAGCTTTGTGGCAAATGGAAAAATTTCGTGATGCGGTGGATGATTGCAAGTTATGTGATATACCTTTCTCCGACTATGATTATACTTATGATAATGGTCAATGGGGGGAGGATAATATTCAATGCCGCCTTGATAGGGCTCTTGCGGTGAATGAGTGGCTTGAGCTTTTTCCCCAAGCGAAGGTGCTGCATCTCGAGAGGGAGTGGTCTGACCACTCTCCAATTAAATTGGTGACTAGTGATGATGATGGGAACAAGGTTGCGAAGGAAAAGTTGTTTAGATTTGAGCAACTATGGACCGAAAGTGAATTTTGAGAATGTTATCAAAGATGCGTGGCAGTTAGGGGGGAATTCAATGGCGTCAAGGCTGGTTTATTGTGCTGAGGAATTGAAGTTATGGAGTGATAAGGAGTTTGGGGGTATTTTTCGAGAAATTAGAAAAAGAAGGAAGATATTAAGTTCTCTTAATAGGGGGAATCGGTTAGAGGCAAGGGTGAGGGAAAGAAGAAAGGTTGTTCGTGAAATTAACGAGTTACTGCACCAAGAGGAGATATGTTGGCGCCAACGCTCGAGGGCGCTTTAGCTAACTTCTGGAGACAGGAACTCAAGCTTTTTTCATCGCAAAGCATCACAGAGAAAACAAAAAAAATTCAATCAGATGCTTGGTTTCGGAGGATAGTGTGGCGCATAATGATGAGGAGGGGATCACTAGAGTGGCAGTCGACTATTTCAGTGGGCTGTTTACTTCTTCTCAACCGTCCGAGTTTGATGCAGCCTTGGAAGGGGTTGAGCATAGAGTAACTGTCGAGATGAATGATGCATTATGTGCTCATTTTTCAGCTGATGAGGTGTTGACGGCGCTTAAACAGATGCACCCCTTAAAGGCCCCCGACCTTAATGGTAATCTTGTGCTTGGTGTGTTACATGGTGCGGTGATTCCTAGAGAAATTAATAAAACATTTATTGTGCTCATACCGAAGAAGAAAGACCCTGATAACATGACTGAGTTCCGACCTATTAGTCTATGCAATGTGGTGTATAAATTAATTACGAAAGTGTTAGCTAACAGGTTTAAGGTGTGCCTATCAGATATTACTTCTCTTAATCAGAGTGCTTTTACCCCGGGCCGATTAATTACTGATAATATTCTGGTTGCTTTTGAGGTCTTTCATCATATGAAATATTCAGTGAGTGGGGAGGGTGCTTTGGCTTTGAAATTGGATATGGAAAAGGCTTATGATCGTATTGAGTGGGGCTTTTTGAAGATGGTAATGCTGAAGCTTGGTTTTGCGGAGGTTTGGATTGACCATGTTATGCATTGTGTTTCCTCGGTTTCTTTTGAAGTCTTGATAAATGGGGCACCTTTGGGGGAGTTTACCCCATCTAGGGGTTTACGTCAAGGTGATCCATTATCCCCATATTTATTTATCTTATGTGCGGAGGCATTGTCGGGATTGTTGAATAAGAGGGTACAAGATGGTGCATTACATGGAGTTCGTGTGGCTCCTTCGGCCCTACCTATTTCTCACCTATTATTTGTAGATGATAGTTTGATTTTTGCGAGAGCTAATGCAGGGGAGATTGGAACTATTCGCAATGTGCTTAAAATTTATGAGGAGGCGTCGGGGCAAATGGTGAACTTTGATAAAACTACGGTGTCTTTTAGTAAGGGAGTCTTGGAGGATAGAAGGAAGGAGTTGGCGGAGTTGCTAGGTGTCAATTTGGTGGATATTCATGATAAATATCTTGGTCTTCCGACGGTTGTGGGGAGATCAAAGAGAGTTATAATGAAGGATGTGAGAGAGAAGATTTGGAAGAGGTTGCAAGGGTGGAAGGGGGGAATGCTTTCTAAGGCGGGTCAGGAGGTGTTGATTAAGGTCGTTGCCCAATCTATCCCAACCTACGCAATGAATGTGTTTAAATTCCCCGCTTCTTCTTGTGATGAATTGTGGTCGATGATTGCTAATTTTTGGTGGGGGCAAAAGAATGGTGAACAGAAGATTCATTGGATAGCTTGGCGAAAGCTTTGTGAACCAAAGGCGAAAGGGGGTTGGGATTTAGGGACTTTAAGTATTTCAATGCGGCATTATTAGGGAAGCAGGCTTGGCAGCCTATGAAATCAATTGAGTATGTGACTAAATTGATGAGTGAGTTGGGAAAGGAGGATGGTGGTGGGGCGAGATCAGGTGGTGGGGCTGCTTTGGCGAAGTGGAAACCTCCTTCTTCTGGGCTATGTAAGCTCAATGTGGATGGGGGAGTGCGTGAAGGAGAGGGTGTGTCTGCAGGAGCTGTGATTCGTGATGAACTTGGGGGTGTCAAGCTTGCTGCAGGGTGGAGAGGGGAGGAGCGTTGGGATGCCAATATTGCAGAAGCCAAAGCTTTACTTTGGGGACTCCAACTTGCTGTGGAGTTTGGGTTTCGTAGGCTGCAAGTCGAGAGTGATTGCCTTGGATTAGTGACCGCAATTTGTTCAAAGGAAAGGGGTAGTAGTAGTGTTCATTTAATTCTGAATGATATTTACCATGTGTCTAGTTCTTTAGAGTATATTTCGTTGTGTTTTGTTCGTCGGGAAGGGAATAAAGTCGCCCATGAGCTTGCTCATTGTCTTGTGGGAGTGACGGGTAGGAAGGTTTGGTTTTCTGATTTCCCGAGTTGTATTTTACCTTTGGTAAACTTTGATGCTTCTTCTAATGATAATTAAGTAGCCTGAGGGCTATTCTTCTCAAAAAAAAAAAAAAAAAAAAAAAATAAAGGGACAGATGAGGGAGTAGTGCTTACTCGTTTCTTGTGGTTCGATTCTTAGTTTCTCCCTGTACTTGAAATTAAGTGCTATAAAAATTGTTTGATTTAAGAGAGATAATAATGACCTATTTTCCTATATCAGTCTCCTCTTTGCTAGCCAATCAACGGCAACATTGGGGATAAGTGTAGAAACTCGAAGCAATAACTTTGTAAATTCAAATTTGGATGAGATCCTACTTGCTCATACTACAAACTTTCTTATACTCACTCTATATCAGAATTACTGATACAAATCCCATTTTCGTCGTCTGTCAATATACAATTTATACAAATTTTCCTTTTGTTTTGTCAGTATACAATTTGTAAAAACTAAAGGAAAAAAATGGAACAAACCAAAAAATCTCACTAAACTCTTCAACAGAATTGGCCACTTGATTGCAAATTCAATTTAAACGACCAAAGAATGTTGTATAAAGACTTTATGAGGCTAATGTATGGCTTGAGCCAATATAAGTCCCATCATGGGGCATCATCTCCTCTTAAATGGATGCTATTGTCCCACTTTGCCTTATCTGTAGCAAAAAGTTTAAAATATAAAAAGAATTAAAAATAAAAATAAAAAAACACCGTGTAACCAGCCATTATGAGGATTATTTCAATTCGTTAGTATTGTAGCAATTACTTAATCCCTATTATAAAGGCTATTTCGTTAGTTTTATAGGGGTTACTTGATTAATGTTATATAGGTTAGTGGTTAGTGTTATAGGGGTTACATTAACGTTATCCTTCGACAAGCGGTCAAACAGTGTGGCTAGCCGCACACAAAACACATTGAAAAATATATACTACAATAACAACAAAAGCTTAGCCTCGAAATGACTTTTGTTAAGATAAAAATAAATAAACTTACTTCCCTAATAAGTATTGAAGTATTAAACATTTGTATTGTTTGTAAAATTGATTTTCTCATCAATTTGGAAAAAACTTGATTACTACGTATACACTTTGTCAATTTGATGTTTTTAGTTGGAATATTGACCATGAGTATTTACTAGTAATCTAATATACATATATATAAAGGGGAGTTTTTTCCCGAGTTTTTGGAAAGCCACGTAGGATTTAATTTTCCTAGCGCGCCATGTAAGATTACAAATTTTAGTTGTAGCCAATCAAATAAGAGATTATTATTTTCTTTTAGAATTAAACAATTCAAATGTCACGTAAGCAAAATTGGCGAATGAGATTTTTATGTTTAAACTAATTAAATATAAAATATTATCTTTTAATATTAGGAATTTTATCTAAATATGTATCAAATTTTAGCACATAAATAAATAAAAAAATGTTTTAAAAAATTCAAACAAATCGTGCATCGCACGGGCTTCATCTAGTGTATATTTATATAGAACATTTTAAAATAAGATTTTGTTCTTTTCACCTAATATTTGCTAAATTAATTTAAATTAAAGTATCGGACCTTAAAAAAAACAAAATAACACATTATAACATAGGAAAACCCTTAATTATTTATGAACTTAGGATGTAATCATAAAAGTTGATATACTCTCTTTTCTTTCATGTTTCAAAATCTAAAATTCTGCCTTTTGTGGTTAAACTATATAAACTTCAAATCCATGACTACTTTAACATTATAGTTAAACATAACATGCAATTAAGATTGAGGGATAAATTAAATTCACCTTGCTTTCACATCTTGGTTGAATCTCGGACTTCTTCATATTCCTCATGTTGTTGGTCTAACATTTTATTTGCACACAATACGCTAGATGGGTCACTAGTTTGATTTTTGGAAGTAGAATTTGTAGCATCATTATTAGCCAATCTTCTTTTTGGTGGTAATGCTAATGTTGTTGCCTTTCCATTGTATTTGCCTCCAAACATCATGTCCCCTTGGGATGCATTTGTTACTTGAGAAACATCTGATTTCATATCCATTGATGCCTCATTATCACCCTTTCTTATTTGAGTAACAAGTGCATTTGTCCCGTTTCTACGTGCGTATTTTCTATTCACCTGAGCATCCTGAAAGCGTAAAAAAACAAAGCAAAATTAAAGTTTATCATCAGGTAATGTTCGACCCAACTAGTTATAGTTAATAGTTATCAAAGTAACTCATGCAATTGCAATAGGCAATATTAATCAAACAATGATATTAATATGTATCTACTCTATAATCGTCACATCTCTACTTGCCAATCACTACACTATCTGGAAATTGTTTTTAGAACCCTAGATATTCGAAGTAGTCATTTTTTAACATAAAAAGACTAGTTCTCCATAAAAGATACACCAAAAAATATTGTCCAACATGATGTAACACTTTTTACCCAAGAACGTTTATAATAATGCTACACATGTTTAAAGTATTTAACTACTTGTATACTTTGTATAAGTTAAGTGCAACAAAAATAAGTTGATAAGTGTGTGGGTATTTTCTATTTTATCCTAGTCAAATTAACAATATTTAGACGTAAAGATGAAGACCTACTTCTTGTCCAGGTCTTCCTAACATGCTAATGCTGCTTTGCTCTGGCAATCCTTTTCGACCTCGTTTTTGCATTCTTGATGATGATGTCGTGGTATCTTGATTTCTACCCGTCTTTTTCCTGAAATATTATAGAGAATTTATCGCTTTAGGTTGTTTTAAAAAATTACCAATGTTTCACATTATGTGCAACAATTGAAGGTAGCAACACGTCGACCATATATTTGCTAGGACTAATAATTGCATTTATCGATATATATATATATATATATATATATATATATATATATATATATATATATATATATATATATATATATATATATATGCAAATGAACTACTACCTCCGTTACATATTATTTGCAACGATTAGACATTTTTCCTCTATACTTTATGTCAAATCGTTGCAAATAATATGTAATGGAGGTAGTATAAACATTGGCGGAGCCAGAGGGGTACAAGGTGGGACATCTGTCCCCCCCCCCTCCCCAAAAAACAAGCAGGTATATATATTATTGTGTTGTAAAAATTTAGGATACAAAGTGGGTGGTGTGGTGGTGAATGTAGTTGAATTCTTTACAAGATTTCAAGGTTCCAACCTTGTTGTTGTAATATTTCCATTTTTTTATTTTTTTATTTGAAGAATCCTTCCATTATATTTATTAAGCAATACTAATTTATTTACATAAGTGTAATTGTAATATTGCATTAACGGAACCCCTAAATTACTATTGTCATTGAACTTTAGTGGAGTATTTTTCATTCACTTTTTTTTCTTTATAATGTTTAATTAAGAAGTATTCCTTTCAAATTTTTTAATTAATATATACTAAGTATATATATTTAAATAATAATTTTAGTTATGATATTGCATGAACAAAACCCACTAAATTAAGTTTGTCATACAAAATTATACATTATGACTATTGCATTTAATAACCTATATTATTTAATGTTCGAATTTATTAAAAATTCGGAACTCATAAGCAATTATTTTTGGAGGAAAAATTGATATATAATGTTGAATTTTTATTAAGTACTCTGTATTGTGGATTTTTTGAGTTGTACACATTAATTATGGAACATTCTGTGTATTTAACGATTGGTGTTTTTTTCCAATATTTTTTGTCAAATTATGTAATGTTCATCCGTCCCCCCGATTAAAAATTTCTGGCTCCGCCACTGACTATAAATACTACCTCTGTTACTTTATAGTAGCAGTAAAAGGGTAATTTTGTAAGATATAAAATATTTCTTTATTGTAACTAAAAAGTAACAGAGATACTACATAATATAAAAAGTAAAAAAATAAGACTAATAATGGTGTAGTACATACATAATATTCTTTATAGTCAGTCACACACACAAGACGAGTTGAAAATGTAAATACAAGTATAATTACCTTTTTGATTCTTCACGAGATTTGGCATCAATCTCCTTGTTAGGAGGATACTTTGGCAAGCTAGACGGGTCACATGCATAAGGCATTGTATTGAAATACTGATACATATAAACAACCAACTTCAATCTATGGAAACAAAATCGTACGTACAAGAGAAATTTACTCGTTTTTTCGATATTATTTTTCCGTCTATGTTACAATTTTAAAAAATCGTACATACCTTAGAGTTTAAGGCAGAGGCCGCGCTTCCACGATTCATAGGATCAACTGATAATAGAGCCTCTAATAGATTGATAGCATGTTCAGGGAAATTTTTAAGCCTATCTCGAAGTGAACTTTCGTATGGAATTTGAGGTTTAAACCTAGATGCATGAGGTAACTTGGATTTGTTCCAATACTCATCTGGTGGTGACCCAGAAAGTTTGAAGATTTTATGCAATTGTTCAACCTGTAATCATTATTGATGCATCATCATTTCATGAATACAATCATAAGAAGTTGAATTTACAAAACTAAAATTGATTATTTCTCATTTTGATGTTTTAATGTGATCGACTTTTACAAAAGTTATTCGGAGTCTCAACTAATTTATAATTATCGAGAAATGACCTTATAAAAAATAAAATTTTTACAATGGTCATTTGAAATATGACAATTGAAAAACTTATTATAAACCTCATTGATAAACAAGAGAGATTGATCTCCTTTAATATGACTATACGAGCTATTCAAAGTATAGTTTCATAATTTATCCATGTGCAAAGAATAAAAAACAGTAACGGATCTAGGATTATTAAGTTGGTGAGCTACCGACGGTAATCAATCCAATACATGCTCATTTTATCTTTAACTTATTGTTTTTAAATATAAGGTTATTTTGAAGAATAGTGAGACATGTGCCACTCGATATCCCTATTAAAATTAATCTTACTTCCTCTGTTAAACATTAGTTGTAACTTTGGGGTATTATTTGTGAGATATAAATTATTCTAATGTCGCAACTAATATGTCACGGATGTAGTACAACTATATAAATGTCAAATTTGTAACAAAAGAATATAAACTAAGAAGATAATTACCTCAGTTTTACCCTTAAGAATAGGCTTGCCAACGAGCAGTTCAGCAAAAACACAACCCGCACTCCACATATCTACATAAGGTCCATAATTAGTAGATCCGAGTAACAATTCGGGCGGGCGATACCATAATGTGACTACACGACTGGTAAGAAGCTTAGGCTGCTTGTACTTTGTGCTCATCAAGAAGTTTGCCAACCCAAAATCAGCCAATTTCAAAATCCCCTCATTATTTAGCAATATATTAGAGGTCTTTATGTCTCGATGCATTACTCCTTTTCCATGGCAATAGTCTAGCCCATAAAATATTTGTTGCATGAAGCACTTTATCTGCATATTATACAAGGTTTTTAAACTTCAATTTTCAAGACTAGTCAAAAAAGCGATAGAGTTGATCATAGGCCAGACATTGTTGAAAATGTGAATTGGTCACAGAAAACGTAAATTGGGCACATTCAATTTAATCCATTAAATTGGCTCTAGCTAGCCAAAACTTTGGGGCAAAGATAGTTGGCCCTACCAAAGAAAAATAAAATCAAGAGAGTTTGAGACAATTATTTTGTTCTCTTCACCTTATTCTTATTACGAATTAGCACATCTTCGACAATTTAAAGCAAACAAGGCCAAAATGTAATTATAGAACAAGTTTGACTAAACAATTTAGAGTAGATACTAAATTCAAACCATAACACCTTAAAAATGATGAAGCTAAAACAACTATTGAACAAATCCAACCAAGTAATTGAAAGACTACTATTCAAGTCAAGTGGTCCGGGCCACAGATGATCAACTCTATAAAAAGTTGATGAAACGTAAAACGAAACTAACCTGAGGCTCGGTAAATGTGACTTCAGGGCAAGAGAGCAAGCCAGAAAGATCATGTTCCATGTATTCGAATACAAGGTAAATACTACAAGAAACTTTAGAGGTAATCAAACCATGTAACTTAATTATATTTGGATGATCAAGCTTTCGAAGAATTGTAATTTCTCTTGCCATAAATCGGACACTTTCTGGGTGATAATTGTCAAATCTCACCTTCTTAAGAGCCACAAATCTACCTGTAGCATGTTCACGTGCTTTGAACACACTACTATATGTACCTTGTCCAATCTACAAAATATAATTCACATTGGATTGTAGTAAATAAATAACGTTAAAAGCTGGATATGATAAGAGTGATAGGAATAATTTGCAATCATCCAATAAGTAGGTGAATTCACGATTTCAAAAAAAAAATTATGCGGAGTACGTAGTAATGTACAGGTAATTTTTGCCATGTATTCGTAAGATATAAAAAATACATCGTGTATCCCTAAATTTTAAAAAATGCAACATTTTTAAATTTCTCATGCCAAGTATAAGAATATAGTAACTAAAACAACTTTCTACAATTCTAAAAAGTCCAACTATAGAAATTAACTCAACCAAAAGACAAAATTAATATGAAACTACAAGTAATTTATATTTGTCTACGAATAATAGTATTCTATTATCTATTAAATCTTGGAAAAAAAAAAACTCACAATTATAGTGGAAATTATTTATTTCCATAGATTTAAAATTGATTAAAGTGTTTCTGAATGTCGCAAATTCTTTATTAACAGCTTCTACAAGTATTATAAAACTAATAATGGTTTGAATTTGTCCATTAATAAGAAAATCTTATTTAAATTTTAAACATTTCAAAGCTCACAATTATGTAAGTAAGATTAGCTATCATTTAAAAAATTAGTTAGTGTAGGTCGACAATGTCGCAAATTTAGATATGACACAACGATAAGTTTAGAGTAACGTACATGATGAACCTATCTAGAATATAAACAAAGATATATCTTAATTTTGTTTATTCGTTGACACGTTTTGATATTTACATTGTATTTTTCTTTTGTAAATCATGATATTTACATTGTATATGTACATAAATTTACATCAATTTTTCTACAAGTATCTAACTTTTACCAAAAAAAAAAAAAAAAAAAAAAAAAAATCATGGTATCTTATACAAAGTAAGAGTTATGAAAATGTGTAAAAGTTTAAACTTTTATCTGTTATGAGTAACACCTAATGGTATTGTTAATTGTATTTATATATTATCAAATTTTATAATTTTTTTTTATCAATAATAACATATCTATCTATATTTATACTTCTATACTTGGTATTTAAAAACACAAATCATCATCCCCATCATGCCACATGTAAATTAAAATTTATTTTCACCAATGCCACATGTCACCTCCCTTTATTAATTAATCCCCTTTCTTATTATTTAAAAAATAATAATAAATAACTTTAATTCATATAATTGTTCCCTTAAAAAAAATGCATATATGAATGTTATTTGATTCATTTTCTCCCAACTTAATATCTCTACAATTACATTCAATTATCACCCTTCTTCTCCTTTATAAGCTATTCATTTTCCAAATAAAACATATTATAAAACAAAAGTCACTATTGTACTCCTTATAAAAAATCTCGTGCATTGCACGAGTCAGAAGGCTAATTAGGTATAATTTATGTTATGCGTACATTGACATCTTGCTAAATAAACGTGTCAATCGATATAAAATGAAAAAGGTGTAGTAATTAGATAATTTGTTGTTACCTTATCTAATTTCTCAAAACCATCAGCACGTAGAGGCACCCACCCATGAATGGCTTCGCCAGCAACAGCCGTTAGCCATGCAGGCCAACCGGCAGCGGTTTGCTCAGCAACAACCTGACTCTTCGACGACCCGAATCGTAAACTCAACGAGAAATTCGAATTAGAGCCTTTGCTCTTCGACCCCTCCAACTTCTTTCCATCCTCTTCTCCTGATTCAAATAATTCATCCTCTCTATTATTATTAGTTGATGATTTTTTAAAGGGCAACAATTGTGCTTGTGTCTCACCAAATACTTGGTGGGTCCCGCTTCCGCTTGTAGAAGCGATGGCGGGACCCATATGGCGTCGACTCGATGACCTCTTGACCCGAATTTCCCCCTCCAAATCATCGACAGCAGACGGGGTTCTGGACCCCGTCCGCTTCGAAGATATGCACCCCATCAACGAACAATGTCCATCAATGACATGACAATATCTGGGAATTTGATATTATTATTAAAATTTTACTGAGTTTAATCAAAATTTAAGGGGAAACTTGGGAGAAAAAAAGATGTTTTGAATTTGATCGACCCAGATGAATCAAAGGGAAAGGGTCGATGTTTTTTGGGGGAGAAATTTTGGGGGTTTGGAATTGGCAATTGTTTTGTTTTTTCTCATTTTGTCTATCTATTATTTCGATTTTAAATTTAGATTACAACCTACGGTTTTGTTCAATTAACAGAGAAAATTAAGGGACAAAAATCAAATTTTGGTTTTCAAAATCAGATAATTGACTTTCTTCTATTCCCTTGCTCTTATCCTCCACCAAAACACTCCTTATTCATACGATATCAATAATTTATCTTAGTAAGTTAGTACAGAGTATTAAACAAAGAAGTACACTCGATGTGTGCACAATTTGTATGTTATATTAATTTAAATCAAATTAATTAGAATAATGTTAAATTTTTTTGGTGTATAAAAAAGATGATAATTTTTTTGTTGGTGAAGTATTACATTCGTCCCTTTAATAATTTGTAATAGACAAATTTCTTTAGACAAGTTTAACAATGTATGATTTCAATCACAAACATTTTTAATTGTAAACAGGGGCTGCAGAAGGGTGGTGCGACGGTGCAAGTTGAGCGACCACGTAAGGCTCCCTAAATATTGGGGCCCCAAAATCAGATAATAGCTTTTATTTTTTATTTTATTTTTTGGTGAAAGAGAGGGACAAGCCCCGAAACAAAACATGAAACAAAACATAAACAAAAACAAAACAACAAAAGAAAAACTCCTAAGGCACGTTAGCCGGAACCATCCTAACTTGCGTGACTCCACTCAAGTCCTCCAATAAAATGGCAAGAATGAAGATCCTTTGAGACCGCTTCAAAAAGGACAAATTTCTCATTCGACTTCACTCCATAGTTGGCTAATCAATCTGCTGCACGATTAGCCTCTTTATAATTCCCTTTCGAAAACAAGAGTCTTATGCCTCCGAATGATGTGAATATAGAGAGAGTTGGGAGGAATTTCTTCCACCAACAAACGCATAACAACTTCAGAATCAATAGAGAGTTGAACTCTCCTATATCCTATGACTATATGAAAGTCGGTGGTTCAACTCCCCCCTACACCAAACTTTTTCTATAATTATCTCTTTATAATCTTTAATTTCTTACATAAAATTACACTTAATATAATTTTCTATTTCTCAAATTCACTTGTACAATCAACGACTAGTTGATTATTTTTTTTAACACTTTCTATCGTATCTTGTCTATGAATTATTAAATTACCAAAACTTTTAGATACAACTTGCTTTAAATTTTTTTTTTTTTTTTGTGATTGGCCTTTTGGCTAAGATCAAGTGTAATGTCTTTTGCTATACACTTGAATTATTGAGACAATTGGCTTTGTAATTACTCGTGAAAATGCTATGGTTTTATTTCTTGTAATAATTTTACATTCAATGTCACTATTGAATTTAATATTTATAAAGTATTATTTAATTGAAATTAAACCTCCTTTTAAATAATTATGAAAAGTGGGTCAAGTTTAAAAATCGACCCCAAAATTTTTTATCCTGCCCTTGATTGTAAATAAGAAAAATTGTAAAAATATGTGTGGAAAGTATATATATGGACATATGGTTTCTAATGCATCACTTTATACTTCCTCCGTTTCATAGTGATATTCCTATTTTGACTAAATTTATCTCACAAAAAAAATTCTAAAAGAAAATGTCATTGTGGAACAGAGGGATTATTTTATTGATTACATTAATTCTTGCTTAATACAAACTTTTGAGAATGAGAATTCCATCTCTTAATAATAATATTAGGCCATTTTCACGTGCCTAACCTCTTTTAAACCTCTTTTATTTGGGATGGGGGTATCTTTTCCTTTTTTTTTTTTTTTTTTTTTTTTTGTGTGTGTGTGTGAGAGAGAGAGAGAGTGAGAGAGATTCAATTGGGTTGTTTGGAATAGTAAAACAACCTAATTGAATCATGACTATTAAGGATTCTTAAAAAATTAAGGATTCTTAATTCTTTAAATATTTTTCACCCAAGACACATTGAATAGGTTAAAAAGAATAAGAGATCACCACTGTCAATCAAGCACCTAAAAATGGGAGTTTTTGGTTGCTCAAATAATGAGGCCATTTAAAAAAAATAAATAAATAAAATAATTGTACACAATAATCATTTGAGCTTTTTTTTTCTTTTTTTTTTTTTAAAGTGGAGGGGACAATGGTCCCCTTGTCCTCACGTGGGTCGGTCCATGGGTAAAGATTTCTACTACTCATTTGTTACCACTCTAAAACCTAAGTTAACAATTCCCATAACTTTTCTCAAACAAAAATAAAAGAAGATATGTTTAATTAATTCCTTTTCATGATTAAACCAAACAAATGGAAAGATAAGAGCTAAATAATTTTGTTTCTCACACTTATTTGTTTCCTTTCCACTTCATTTTTATTAGTCATACAAAACGGCTGACAAACGCGGAGTTAGAACAAAGTTGCGCAACTAGCATGCTCCCCTCGTTAACTATCAAGAAATACTTCATACTTTATTATACTATGCATAAGTTACATACATTATTTAAAATGGTTTTTATTTAGGGTATTTTTTACCCTAGACACGTGGATCAATGAGAGGTCGCCACATGTCGAGCTCAGGATGGCCCATGTGGCTCAAGCTCCTCTTGACACTTGGCGCCCTCTGATACGTTTCCGGAATGGCGGCCTTCAAAGGCCCAGATTCCTAGGAGCGCCGTAAAACGGCGCAGCCCGCTAAAATCTAGGTCAAGTGACCTAGGTAGGGGCACTTTTCCCAACGACCCTATAAATAGGGAGATATTTCCCCATTTTGGGGACACATTCAATCATTTATTACACCCTTATTCTCTTACATCAGAGAAAGACCTGAGCTTGGAATCCAAGCAGATACCCACCTAGTTTCCGTTCTTTTTATTCCGTTTCAAGTTACTAACTTGTGCGTCGGAGGCGGAGCACCACCCAACCGGTGTCTCCGTTTGTTTTGCAGGTACAGCTCACTGCGGATCAGTCTTCGTGTTGTAACTCTCCCAAGGGACAAAAACACCCAAAACATTTGGCGCCGTCTGTGGGGAGAGTACCTCGAAGATGGTTCAAGAGTATGTACCCCTTAACCATCTGGGTGAAGACCTAGAAGTTTTTACAGACCATGAGGAGGATGAAGACCCTCAGGTCGAAGCTTTTACAGCCGAAGACGGCTCTCTCAGAACTAAACGCATCCGGCCCAGAGACACTCTGGAGCGGGGTGCCTCTCAGGCGGGTCCAAGTCGACCCTCTGGGCAGCCGGAAGGGGAAACCCAAACGGCCGCTGGATCAGCCCCTGTCACTCGAGACGAACTCATGAGATTCATGACAAGTTTCAAGTGTGAAATCACAGAGCTGATCACCAAGAGCCGGGCTAGCCCAAGTAAAGGCCAGACGACGAAGAAGACTCCTCCAGAGAAGGGGAAGTTAGTCAGAAACCGGCAGCCCACTCCCCATTCAAAGGAGAAGGCAGCCGGGACCATTGTTGGTCAAAAATTCTCCTTCCTGGGAGGAACACTAATAACACTCGCCGGACTCAGCAACCGGTGAGAAGTAAAAAATCAACTGTTGATGCCCGGGAGATCATCAACTGGAAGAGAAACTGTGGGGAATAATTTCAAGCCTTTAAAATCCCACTAGCTTGAACCGCACTGTGATCATACACTAAAGTACGGTGACGTCCAAAAGGGAAGAAGATACAGCAAAAGAGTCACCAACAAGTTTTTAAGGAATTTGTAAACCGTTCACGAGGTGAAGGTTACACCCCTTAACGATCCAAGAGATCATCAACTCCATAAGGTCATGAACCAAATAAGGGTTCGGGGATGAAGGTACAAATCCAACCTAAAAGAGATTGAACCTGCCCTAATAATAGGCCTCTACTTTATTCTGCTCATATTCATATGCGCTTTCTAATTAACATCAATCAATAGGATTAACCCTAAACCTATTTAATCTATGTTGGTTGAGTTTAATGCACAAATAAACTATTATTGGCGATCACTTGAATTATAATCACAATTAACCTAACAAGATTATTAAGTATCTTATTAAGCGTGATTGCAAATACCAATTCCCTTTAACACGCAATAAAAGGTGTGATCAAGCAATAACAAATAAAATAATATGCATATCAAGCAACATAATAAATAATCAACATCATAAATAAGAATAATATCAATCATAATCAATAATAATCATGTTAAAGCATAGCAAGATCCTAGGCATGATACTAACAAGATTAATAACAAACCCTAGCATGTCACTAAGTTATAAAAATCAAATCTTTAGCCCTAACATGATACTAACATGAATTAATATTAGGAAGAATATAGGAAGCATCGTACTTTTAATCATACTTAATATTAAAGTTACCCTAAACATGATACTAGGAATCAAAATAACAATCTAAGCATGATTTCTATATCATAATATCAATTAAACCATTAAAGTACTTACTTGGATACCTCGTACCTCTTTCTAATAACAAAATACACACGTTAGTAACTTCAAGGAAAATAATAAACAAACAATTAAATTAAATAATAGAGATAGAGATTTTGGACCAAACCCTCAGAAATTAAAACCTTTCATGTCTAGGGCGAAGGCAACTTCGAATATGGCTAGGTGTTTCTAGATCTTGTGAATGCGGAATTTTGTATTAAAACAAAGTTTAGAAAAGAGAAAAAGAGAATAATCATGGAAATCTTGATGAGAGTTGGTGAATGATAGATGTAGATGATGAATGAAGAGAATTAATGAATGGTAATTGACGAATAATTTTGAATGAAGAGAGTTGATTAAAACTTAAGAATCAAGAGAATTGGTGAATCAAAACGGAGTTTTTGATAGGATATTTATAGAGAAAATCATCCAAAAAAGATAATTTAACAAAACAGAGTCTGAAGACCGCAAAACAACCTTGGCGCCAGCCCTGGCTAATTGGCGCCAGGACTAGTGGCTAGTGCCTGGCGCCAATGCTGGCGTCTAGTGCCAATCCCGATTCCAGGCGCCAAGGCCTGGGGTTGGACGCCAAAGTGGTTTTCCACGCGTTTTCGAAAATCTGATAAATTTCCTGTACTGGAAGATAAAATAATATAATTTCAGTCGAAAATGCTATTTGATCTTGATTAAAACTCTGAAGAATCCTA